CAAAAAATTCGATCAGGGATTACAAAAAAAAAAAAAAACAATTCGATCATGGATTACAAAAAAATCGATCAAGTATTACAAAAAAATCTATCATGGATTACAAAAAAAAAAAAAAAAGAACCGTACGGGACTCGCTGATTCCGTACAGTGAATCGGCGAGTCACTGTGCAGAATCGTCCGGTTCTCTCTAAAACCGGACGATTCCCGTTTTTTTCACCGATTCGATCCATCTATAGCGATTCCCGAGTCGCATCATGTGCAATTCGTGCATGCACGGCGAAAACAAAGCGTTTGCACAGTGACACTTTAATAATTAAAGTGATGAATAGTAAATGATTAAAATAATAAAAATTGTTCACAATAGCTACACAATACATTATTGTGCTACAGTTGTGGTCACTTATACGTGTCAGTATTGTAATAAGAAGTTTCAACTATAGGTAATAGTAAGTTTCAACTATAGGTAATCGATCGTTTTTCCTGAAAATCAGAGAGTTAGATGCCTCTCTCAGTTTCTTGTAAATTACAGGAAGTATTTTAATGTGCTTTACCTCTCACATTTTGGCTCTGTAAGGTTCCTGTTTCACAGGAAATGAACATAGTAAATCTCTCTTTTGTTTTGGTTGTTTCTATGTTGCACGTTATTTTGGCAACACCCAGATATGAGGAAGATATTTTGTGACATTGGCCTCATGTAATTTTTAGGTAACGGTTTTTTTGTCACAATTATTATTTTATTTTACGGTGTGAAATAGATCAGTGTTCTCAATGGACATTTAACTGTAGTATACCGATTGGATGACAATTGACGGTAAGAGAGACAATTTTATTTTAGAAAATAATATTTTTATAGTGAGAGAGGGTTGCACGTTTCCAATTGATGTTTGTGGTATTATACCTATTAAAAAACTATATCAATTTTATATAGGAAAAAGTTTATATAAGGATGCAACCTTAAAATGTAGAACTACGGATGCACCTCAAAAATTCATCGGAAAGGGTAGTTTTAATGTTGAAAAACCCTTTGATTGATCATCTCGAGATCGAGATGTATAACCATGAAAAATAAAAAGATTTTAAATCTCAGAAATAGTGCATTTTACAACCTACTACACCGTATATTTTCAAGATTTTCATATGTTTATAGATCTACTTCATTTTAACCATTTTTGAAATTTAAAATTTTATAATTAGATATAAAAATAGATTTTGAGATAATCCTAAGAACATTTTATATCAAAATTATATACCATGATAAAATTTGAAATGCACCTTACTTTTACAGCTATGGATGCATCCGTATGCCAACTGCACCCTTTTATATATTATGGTTTTGTACGAATCTCTAAGTATACAACTCAGAGATTCAGGATTTGTATTCCAATCTAGTTGTATCTTGGGACTACTCTCATGGACCCGTTTGTACCTCAAAATTTCACCAAGACGAGGGTGTTTAAGACTTCGAAGAAATGAGAGCATCTTGTGCCTCTAAACCCCTAATTTGGAAGATTTACTCCATTATAATATATACTTTATTATGGTGAGAACCCAAATAACCAAAAAAAATCCCCTCAAAAACATTGTTACAATGTTGCAAAACCGCCTAATCGATCGTCTCAACTTCGAGATAAATAGATCCGACGAAAAAGATTTCAAATTCTTTTTAAAAAATGAGTCATGGAAATGGCCCATTTTGTTCCCTTCTTTTTGGGCTGTTGATTTCAAATCTTCAAATAATATTCAATTTGCACTTAGGCCCAAAAGTCTATTTTTAGTGGCTTATGATATGTCCTAAAACCCTTGAAAACCAGGGCGAACATAGATAAAAACTTATCACTAATTGTTAAGGGTTACGCGCAAATTCCACGACCCATGTCCTTATCACTAATTGTTAAGGGTTACGCGCAAATTCCACGACCCATGTCCCATTCGTGCTTGGTATCTTTGTCTTTAGTTACTTGTGCTTTTATTTAATCTTGTCCCAAGCCCCATTATACATACCTGTCCAAAGCCTTCCATCACGGAATACAAACAATCCCCATGAGTCCTCAGTCGCCATGGACTTCTACACTGTGCTCCTGGAAACCGTTGTTGCCATTCTAGCCCTCTTATTCCTGCATCATCTGTACTCCAATAACCAGAAGAAGATGAACACGACAAAGCCAAGGGAGCCCCGATTCTCCCTGGCCATCTGCCGGTAATTGGCCACCTCCACTTGTTTGCGCATGTCAAAATCCCGTGCTGAGCCCACGCCTCCTTGGCCGACCGGCACGGCCCAGCCTTCAAGCTCAAAATGGGAAAAATGCGGGTGCTAGTGATAAGCAGCCATGATTTAGCTAAGGAATGCTTCACTGGCACCAATGATCAAGTCTTCGCCACTAGTCCTCGCACCACCGCAGGCAGGCTCAAGGCCTATGACCATGCACTGACGGCCTTCTCTGCTTATGGACCTCATTGGAGACAGAGTCGCAAACTTGCGATCCTCAACCTCCTCTGTGCCCATAAGGTCGAGTCTTTCTTCCATGTGCAATCCTCCGAGGTTGACATGACCATAAGGCAGCTATATAGGATGTGGGTGGAAAATCACAGCGAGCCGGCAAAGGGGGTGATGCAGTGGTGGCTGGGGAACCTGACTGTGAACATCATGGCTAGAATTGAGGGGGTTGGTCGAGGAGATGAGCCATTTGACTGGAGGCATGGTGGTTTCAGATGCGTACCTTTCCTCGGTTGGATCGACTTTCAAGGTCGCAAGAGGGCCATGAGGAGGGTGGCTCAGGAGGTGGACTCTATCATTGAGGCATGGGGGTGGCAGAGCACCGAAAGAAGCAGGCACATGGCGGGAGCGAGGGCGACTTCATCGACAGATTATTATCTCTTGCCGAGGCCGGCAACATGTCGAGTACTCACAGTGCTCACACCACCATCAAGGCAATGGTTCTGGTACCTTTCCAACTTTCCTGCCTCTCAATGGACTTCTTTTATTTAACAGGTGAAAGAAAGGTTTTAAAATAATTGTTTATCTTTTGTACATAAAAATCATTTTCATTTATTAAATGTCGGTTTAGGATGAGTCACGAAGTGCGAGAAATTTTTTTTATAAACGCTTTTACCGCTGCCTATTTTAAAATTTAAGGTACTTGTGAACTGCCCTTTTCAAAATATACATCAGATCTTTAAAAAGTACAATTTCTTTTCTTATTCAGTCAAATAAAAGATTCTCTGTAGGTTACTTAGAGGATTTACGGGTTAGGAGAACTAAACTCATCTTAAACCTTGGCAAACACTTACTTGTGTTGCACCATGCAGAATTATAGCTGTGAATGATGCCTGTTGCCTCACAATTATGGTGATGCTAGTTAGTAACCACTAGCTCCTTTGAGTGAGGGGGCATGTGACGGTTAACTTTATAAAGTAGAGTCTTTTTAAAGGGGAAAATATGCCATGACCAGAGCATTTTATATGGTATGCTAAGGGAGAATTCTTTGTATTCTTTTTATGGAAGTTGGAGATCGATCTCCACCGTCCACAACAAGAATGTTTGGCGGATGGCCTACGGAGTACAAATCATACTCCATATGATTATCCATGGTATACTCTCCCTTTTAAAAGGGGCATATAGCAAAACCAGGTGATCAGGCTTTGTAAGTTACTTTGCAAATGGGCTTTTGGTTATTTTTTCTTGTGGAGAGGCACTTTCTCTCTCTTTTTTTCTTTTTTTTTCTTTCTTTCTTTTTTTTTTTTTTTAAAGCTTTTCTGCATGTGCTCGGTTCCCCTACACTAGAGGTGCATCTTCAATTTAGGGCTTTGTACATGTGGGGGATAATGGGTTGGGTAGGGTCTAGATCAACCCCTAGAACTAATTGTCACTATCCATGTGGTCAAAGAATTCCATTAATGATCACACCTGTTTGAAAAATCGAACTGGCCTCGGAAACCAGGCGATTGAACTGGCCTAACTGGGCACGTCCCACCCGGTTATACCAAAAAAAAATAATATGAAAAATATATTTAAATCATGATTAAACAAAGTATATCCAAATGAAGTTGAAAATTAGTGAAAAAATGAATTTTAACAAATTGATTTGTGTCGAGGGATATTTTTGATTTGTTTAAAAAGATGGGAAATATAAAAATAAGTATTCATGCCAAAATACTTCACCGTATTTTCTCCTATGATAAAAAGCATTAAAAAAGACATCACAAACAAATCCATTATTTTTTGAGGATTTATATAAATTTTTTTAAAAAGATTTTTAAAGGAAAAAGTTTATATAAGGTTGCAATTTTAAAATGTAGGATCACAGATGCACCTCAAAACTCCATCAGAAAAAGTTGTTTTAATGTTAAAAAACTCTCTAATTGACCATCTCGACATCGAGATGTATGACTATGAAAAAAAAAAGAGATTTTAAGTACCAGAAATAATGCATCTTGCAACACATTATCTAGACCGTCCATTTTCAATATTTTTATATATTATAGATCTACTTGATTTTAATCATATTTGGAGTTTAAAATTTTATAATTAGATATAAAAATAGGTTTTCAGATAATACTAATATTTTTTTACACCAAAATCGCATGTTATGTTAAAATTTGGAAATGCGCCTTAATTGGATTGTTTAAGGTTGCAACCTTATAGATATCTCACCCTTTTTTAAAATACTTGGCCGGACCACCAAAACTGGATTGGCTAGTGCCCGGTTCCAGTTTGACCAACTAGTTCTGAGTTGAGTTGGCGGAGTTTACGGATACTGGATCATACCACTCTGTCTTAAATGTATATTCAGAACGGCGCATATTTTCGTGGGAGATCTCTCTCCATGAAAGAGATTTTCCATCGTATTTCCTATGTTTGTTTCCATGGAAAACCACAGGCATGGAAGCTCCCGAGGTTCACACTGTTGTAAAAATCACGGGTGTCTCATGGGAAAGGGACTTCATACTTTTGAGTGGCATGGAGATGATTTCTCATCTTGTTGAAAATCTCTCTCCTGGAGAGATATTTCGCACGACCAAACGTACCTAAGAAACGAAGTCTTAAATGTTGATTGTGATGCTGGCCCTGCAGGTCCAAATTGTACATTTGGATTTATCTTCAAAACACATGTCGGGGGATTTGTGTGACCTATATCTTCTCTCTCCATCTTTAATGCATCCTAAGTTCGAGTCAATTAAAAATGATTTTGAGATCGAGATTCCCCAACTCTGAGGTCCATCGAAATTGAGAGTCTAGATTAACGCTTCTTTGAGGAGAGTCCTATGTCAAGGAAGGCAATGGTTTAGAGGCAATGCTTAACGGGTGCGGTTTGCATAAGGTTGCAACCTTAAGCAATCAAAGTGAGGTGCACCTCCAAACTTAGTCAAGAGATGCAATTTTGATGTCGAAAAATATTTGGAAGGGAGAGAATCTATTTTTATTTCTAATTATAAAAGTTTGTCCAAAAATAGTTCAAAACAAGCAAATTTATAAATTTATGTAAATCTTGAAAATGGATGGTCTAGATAATGTGTTTAGTTTTTCCTCCATATCTCTACATCTTGATATCGAGATGATCAATTAGATATTTTTTCAACTTCAAAATAACTTTTATGAAAAGATTTTAAAGGTGCACTTTAATTCTACATTTTAAGGTATCGACCATTATATAAACATATAAACTTTTCCCATGCTTAATTGCTAGTTGTACAAAAGATGTGGGAAAGAGGGGATCTCTTTCCCAAATGGATAAGGCTGGCAATGGGCTGGGCGGCCTAGCCTGAGGCCTGGGCCCCTATGGCCCAACCTTTGGGCCAGGTTGTGCATGGGCCTGGGCCACGATATGGCTGACCCAACATTTTTTTCTCCTTAAGTTTTTCACTCTTCTTTCTATAGCCGTATTTGGCCCAGCTGGGCCAAGCTTGGGTGCACCCTATAGGAGGGACCATGGCTGAGCTGGGACCATGGCTGAGGTAGGGCCAACACTGGCTCTGCCCAAGCCCAGACTAGACAAAGCTAGGGCCTGGACCAGGCTGGGTCCGGGCCGGTGAGGGCTAGGTTTGCCCGGCCCAAGCTTGGCTCCCGCTTATTACTGTCCTGGCCACACCAATGTAAAAAGGGCCAAAAGCGAGTCCCATGTCGAGCCTTGACCACCAACACAATATTATGCCTTTGTTAAAAGAAAAATGGTTGTGACCCCTTCCCTACAAAGCGGTGACGATTTTTATTTGAGTAAGTTTTGGAGTCCATATCATCTGAACGAAAATTACATTAGAGTTTTATAAGTAGTATTTGAGTGCTTTTGGGTCCATCAAAAATTCCTATTAAAACTTTATCCCATCCTCAATTTCTAAAAAGCATACTATAGTATCATTTGTATTTGAAAAATATGCTGGCAGTTCCTCAACCATCTAATGTTCTATTAGGGTTTGTCATTAGCCAGCTCTGAGAAGAAGATTGAGATTTTGATGGACTTTTAGGGACGCAATGACACACCAAAATGGTCGATTATTGACATTGAACGAATGAAAAGCCGCTAGTATACTATTTGAATCCCAAATGCCATGGAGTATAAACTTTCTGAATTTTGATCAGTGTCATATTGCTAGTTTTCATGACAAATAAAACCCAAAATTTATGCAAACACACCCAACAGCCACAGCAATAAACTTAAAACTAAGAGAAATCTATCAAAATAAACTTGATTTCTCCACTATTTAATTTGGCAAAGTATACAACGAGATCATTTACGGTGGTCACAATTAATCTTGACCAGTGGATGTGAAATTCGATAGCTGCAGTAATTTCATTGACCAAGCTCAAGTTCAAAAGAAAATTTTTCAAATTTTGTAACATACCCGTTCTATCAGATTTCACATCAGACGGTTATAAGTCATTGTGATCTTCTTGTATATCAAAGATAAATAATCTCATTGTATACAATCTGTTAATAATTTATCTATTTTTAACTATTCCAATTTAAAACCATGTACATTTCATGAGCTTTTTAATAATAAATCAAAAAAAAGTGGGTAAAATGTTAACATAGTTCATCTCTGCATTTTGATAAGTTTCTCTTAAAACCATTGCAGGGAATGGTGGCAGCCGGAACAGACACAACCACAGTGACGCACGTGTGGGTCCTAGCCTTACTCCTCAATCAAGCCACACGTTACGCAAAGCTCAAGCCGAGTTGGACACACACGTGGGAAAACAGAGACACGTGGATCAATCCGATATCATCATAAAGGAAACCTTGCGCCTCTACCCGGCGGGCCCTATCCTTCCGCGGCATGAAGCAATGGCAGAGTGCCACGTGGGAGGATTCCACGTGGAATCAGGCACGTGCCTCCTTGTCAAGGCTTGGAAGACACATAGGGACCCCACGCACCCGTCCGATTTTTGGGCCGTACGGTTCATGGATGGTAGACATGTGGAACTGCGGGACCAGCGACTGGAGTTCATACCGTTTGGGTATGGGCGGCGTTTGTGCCCAGGAATCATCTCTCCCGCACTTCCCATGCTACAAACTTGTTCTCGCACGTGTGATCCACAGTTTTGATTTTTCAATACGTGTGTATGTGGACATGGGTGAGGGGCTTTGGCTTGGGCCTCCCTCCCTAAGGCCACCCCATTACAGGGTCTTGTTGGTGCCTCGCCTCTCTGCAAGACTTTGCAATTGACCTGCAACTCTTTGGGGGGATGTGTTAGTGGTGGGATTCAAACATGTAACATTGTAGCCATTTGTCATCACCATAACCATCAAGTCCGACCCCGCTTCGATTTGCATGCTGCTTTTCTAAATGCTTGATTATAGTTGCTTTAGCACCCTCTCAATTTTTCGTTTAACTTTTACTGCCAATTCTAAGGATTTGTATCCTTCCATCTTCTAGAGCTCTAAGTAGCTTCACTCGCGACCCTATTACTGTTTGTCTTAACTGGGGCCAGAATTCTCTTTATGAACCATGGTATAGATACAAATTTGAAAGGGGGGGAAATGTCAGCAAAGTTAAGAAGGATCTCAATTGGGCTTCTCTAAATAGCAATCACAAGGTTTTGAACTCAAACTTTCTGAAGACAATTTTGTTGTGCTGCAACTGGACCTCGAGGTGCAAGATACTCCTGCAACTAGCTTCAAGGGACCAATCGCCCTCAACTTGGCCTCTTTGAGGTGCAGTCAAGTTTGGACAATTGTTCGTCAAGGATACAACTGAGCCAGATGAAAACCTTGTATAAATTCTGTCATGCTTGCATTCTCTGATAATTTTTGCTGATTATGGCAGCCAATTCGTTTCCCCTTCAGTTGGCATAGGTCAGTGACTAGCATAAGAGAAAAAATTCAGGATAAACGGTTGAGAAAACAGTGAGAAATCTTCAATTTCCAAATAACCAACCTCAAATTTTAGAATGATAGAGTATCTCCTCTTTGATATCTAAAAACTATTTTTTATCTGGTATTACTTCTTTATAGACCAAAACCTGAGTTGTCGATCTACTTTTGAGATAGTGAAGCACGTGGGAGTAGACTAATGTCTGAAGTACATCAAAGTCATGGACAATTATGGTAAAAAAGTGGCTAGGATTTGTTGAGACTCCTAATATAACCGAAACAATGAGCTCCCTCTATAGCCATGGTGAAAACTATGAGTTTTAGGCAGGAAAACATGTTTGAAACAAATTTGAAAAGAACCCAAACTCAGAAGAAGCTTTGATTAAGCCCATGTACTAATTAAACATACGAAATTGAAATATCTTCGCAATTTGCTCTAAAGATTCCCTGAAATTGTCTAAGTCAATCTGAAACACCACTTAAACTAATCTGAAACCAAAAAGGATCGGCCAAGAGCCACACCTGTGGGAGGACCCCTAAGAGTTGATACCCCTATGGGTCGGCACGAGTACCAACTCGTGTCCTGGCCTCCTGGGTCTCCTTCACACCATCTGTCTTGACCTTCCTCTCCCACATATGTTGCAATCTGTTAACTTAGGACACAAGTGGGAATGCGCTTGTGGACATTGCTGAAGACTCTGGCTTGGCCCTCCCCACATCCAAATTGCGGACCTTGTGGTCTCAAACCTTTGCTAAAAGTGGGCTTTAATGGAAGTGTGGACCTTGCTATCTGCCTTTTGCTTGGTGATTGGGGTGTGGGACCTCTAGATGTACTCTCTAATGGTTTAATTCAAAGTTAAGAACTCCTAATATTTGATAAGGGAGAGGTTTGTTTAGACCCAAGTACCCAACAAAACAAGAGATTTAAGTTGATTATTGACATTGTGGTGTACGGAAGTGCATGGGGATTTTCAGGCTACATAATTAAAAGATCCACTAGGGAGTTAGGCCACAATTCATCAAGTAAAATGTCGACCAAATGGGTCCATAAGGTTATCATACTACTGTACAACATAAAATTTATGGAGAAGTGGAGAAGTCTGTATAGGGCGGCTGCTTTTTCTAAGTCACGGGTTAAATCTCAATGGATAAGGTTATATGCACCAGAAAATCTTGAAATTGATGATCTTGAATAGAAATTATGGATCTGATAAAAATAAAAAATAAAAAATAAAAAAAAAAAATTCTCAATTTCTAAAAATGATATATTGCATAATTCATTAGCAAGGGCAGACACAAACTTTCCAGCTGCATAGCCATTTCCAGTGCCAGAACTTCATTTTCCTATGAGTTTTGAGGGAAGGCTTCATATTTGATCATAAAGCCTGGTTAGCTGCACTCTAAAATTTATGCTTTGTTTCAAGCATTGGTGTCCCTTGGCCAAACCCCAACTAGGGGTGGCAACGAGTCGGGTCGGGTCCGGGTCTGGCTCCGGACCAGGACCTGGACTTGACTGGACAAGACCTAAAAAATTAAAATATCCATATATTTAACTATATTTCATAGATAAGGACCCGAAAAATATTACTTGACCCTGAATCAGACCTGCACCCAGACCCAAATAGTGTTCGGGTCTAAGATTTGAACCCAGACCTGACCCTCTGGATCCAATCAGTATTTAGACCCATACTCGGATGGTTAAAAATAATAATGATCTTATAAAAAAAGAAAAGGGAAAATATGCAAAGAAACTAATCACTTTTAGTACAAAGAGGTCACAATCACTATTGTCTATCAGATTTCAAATCGCATGGAAGTAAGAGACTCATTGGCTAGGTTCAAAGTTCACAAAAAAATATCTTGAACTTTGTGACACACCTTAAGCCTTTCAATTTGACATTTAATGACTGGGGATAATTGTGACCTTCTTGTAACAAAGATAAATGGTCTCATAGTATACAATCCCAAAAGTATATGAGAGCACGTATACTATGTTCCCTCGGGAGCATAGTTTACTTCTACTACCTCGATAAGAAGACCTACTTGGGAGAATTTCTTTTGGCCAAAATTTTGGGAACTACTTAAGAGTTACTAGATGATTATTCTCAAATTTTTAAAAAGATCAAATTTGAGCTTTCTAACACTTGGATCTCACCATCTAAAAATTGGATGGCCTCTTTCAATTTCGAGACACTATTTTTTTAAGTTCAATAGGAAATATTTTTTGGTGAGGTTAATTTGTGGGTTGAAGAGATTACATCCCAAAATTTTGGGATCCTAAAAGTAATTCTAGGTAGATTTTTTATCCAAAGGAGTAAATGCACATTCTATTCCCACAAGAGTAGAATATATTTTGGCATTTTATAATAGGATAATATACTATAAGACTATGGTACAAGGATGTTATAATCACTTTTAGCTATAGGATGTAAAATCTGATGGATTGAAATATTTCACAATATTTGAGAAATTTTCTTTTGAGCTTTATGCCCAACCAATGGCATACTTTCAAACCACCCAATTTCATATTTAATAGTAATAATTGTGACCACTCCTTATATCAAAAGTAAAGAGTTCCCTTTATAATTTCTTGATCCTGAAATCGTCAACAAAATTTGCTAATAACGAATGTCAAGGGATCTACCAACTAAAAAGGGTCGGACCACAACAAGTGGAAAGAAGCCACCCTTGCAAATTAATGTGAAATGTAATGCTCACATGGAGCAAGACCTAGGATGGTGAGATAGCCAAACAAGGCATAGCATGTGGTGGTGGTTGCATATATATATAAAATATGTGTGTGTGTTAAATGAGGGGTAGTGACATGAACGTGCATGGTGCAATGCACACTTGAATTGAATCTTGAAAACACGAGGTGGGACCCAAACTAATTGCAGAAGCTACCAGTGCCTTGGGTTTTGAATGATTTATTCAAGAAGAAAGTTTAAATGAGTGGTCAAATATTAGAAATAAGGCTAAAAAATTCATAGGAAAAAATTGTTCCTATATTATGTTATCCAAAAAAAAAAAAAATTTGTTACTTTCAATTCATCATCTTGACTATGAGATAAAACATATACAAAAAATCAAATTCCTAAAATTAGTGTATCTCGTAATATATTATTTGGATCGTCTATTTTTAAAAATTTTAAATGTTTCTAGATTTTTTTGGGTTGCACTACTTTTGAGCTTTAAATTCCATAATTAGGGTAGGAAATGTATTTTCATACTGGTGTAAGAAATTTTTGTACTAAAATTACATCTTCCGACAAGATTTGGAGATACACCATACTTTGATTGTTTAAGATCGACACTTTATACAAACCGCAATCTTCATTCAAGATTTGGAGGTCACAATCATCAATTGACTATTAGATTTGAAATTGGGTGGCTAAGGATGTATCATTATTTAGGCACAAAATCCAAGACTAAATTTCTCAAATGTTGTGGCAACCTTTTATTTATTGAATTTTACATCTAATTGACTAAAAGTGTTTGTGACCTCTTTGTACCTAAAATAATTGATCTCCTAATATCCCTTCACTCAAAGATTTGGCATATGGATATGCAATCCAAAAATCAAATACCCTACACCTACCTTACCATGTTGGAATACCTCTCTCTCGTAAGGAAAAAAAACCAAAAATAAAAATAAAAAAAATTCGAAAAAAGAAAAATTTTTAAAATATCAAAAAAATCATTACTACAGTATTATACCCATGACGCTTTGGTTTTGATTTGTGCGTGTGCTTGATACGTGCATCACTTGTTTTTAATGTTTTTTTATGATACCTGCATCATCACACATCAATAGTCATATATGCATTTAAATTCACATGGGTCTAGGTGGGTTAGTGACCCATCTATTGAGATGGGTCTCCCCCAAGAAGCTTCAACGCTCAATAATTTCTCACAAATAAAGTTTGGACTAAATTATTGTGGGGATTGTATATTGTGAGATTATTTACTTATGATACAAGGAGGTTACTGTTTTGGACTAAATTATTGTGGGGATTGTATAGTGTGAGATTATTTACCTATAATATAAGGAGGTTAGGGTAAACTATAGCTATCGGTTGTGAAACTCAACAGTTAAGCATATGTTGGGGGATCTTGAAAACTTTTCTTTTGAAAAAATTTAATATTTCTTTAGATGGCTTACCTCGCCATTATTTCCAAATACAATACATATGTGTGAGAGAGAGAGCACTTAGTTATGCGTTTAGCACATGTAGTTTGTAGGCAGCGAAAACACATGTGAAACACATTGATGGTTCTAGAGAGAGAGCATTTAGTGGTGTCTTAAGCCCATCTAGTTAGGTAATTTATTGGCTGCCAAAGCATTTGTGAAACACATTGATGGTGCTCTCTCTCCAGAGAGAGTCTCTACAGAGAGAGAGAAAGAGAGAGAGAGAGAGAGAGAGAGAGCACTTAGTGATGCCTTGAACACATGTAGTTTTGAGTGCTAGAAACACGATTGATGGTTATCTAGGACTCCCTCTTGCATTTCGTAGGTATCATGAGTGCCAAACTTTTCCCTTTTCTCATCAATCATGATGAGGGAAATGTGATTCTCTTCCTCTTCTTTTGCATGAATGCAGTTGAGATAGAAGATCTCCACTTGATGGATGTGTATGTAGTAACTATGCATATGATTGGGGTTTCAAAAGTGAGGGAAAATGGAAGTAGACCACAATAGGTTTTAGGTGTTGTTGTGCGCGGAAGCTCTAAATCTGATGAGTTGATTTTTGGTAAATAAAGTATGAAAAAAATAGAACAAGCAA